GGCAGTGGGTTTGGGTTTTAGTTTTAGTAATTCACTAGGTTTTCATAAGGAACAGATATCTATTTAGAATGTAAAAACATTTGGAAAATTTTAAAGCACTGCAAAATCAATGTGTGCCTTTAGTTAGATTAAATTCTCGGTGAAATCACTACCTCTCTGGTAATCATATATTGTGGAGGTAATTATTCCTGTGTTATTTCTGAGGAAAAGAACATCCTACAATGTCAATTACATAGAGGAAAAAAAACCTACTTAATTGAACACTGGAATCATTTTCTTTTCACAAATTTAATATGTTCAGGTTCTAAAATGTGTTGCTCATATTTTTGTCTACTGAACAAGTAATAGGGAAGATAGTTACATCATTCTTAATACTGGAGGAATATATTAATTAACTTTTATATTTTTATGAACTTAACATCAAGGCGCTCTGGTAGCATAGTGCCTAAGCACTTGACTGCTAACCAGAAGGCTGACAGTCCAAACCCACAAGCCACTCTTCAGAAGGCAGATTGGGCAATCTACTTCTGTAGTGATACCAACTCAGAAACACAAGGAGGAGTTGCTAAGATTTGGGTCCTACTCGATGGTACATAACAACAACAACAGAGTCAATTAATATTTGTACAATATTACTTTCTTTATACTTTTGTGAAATTCCTGTTCTATTTCTTCCCAAACTGTTAATTTTCAATGAGTGTGTTGTTGTTTTTAGGAGCCATCCAGTCACCTCCAACTCACAGCAACCCTATGTAAAACAGAAGGAGAACCTGTCCGGCCCTGGACTCTCCTCACAATCCTTGCAATATTTGAGCCCATTGTTGCAGCCACGGCATCAATCCATCCAGTTGAGGGTCTTGCTGTTTTTTACTGACCCTCTACTTTACCAACCATTATATCCTTCTGTAGGGATTAGTTCCTTCTGACAATATGACCAAAGTAATTGAGACCAAGTCTGGCCATAGCTGTATGCACACAATTATTTGTATGCTATGCATTATCAGCTAATACAATTGATGATGACAGGAAAGAAGTTGATTACATGGTTTATGAAAGTAAGCATCCGTCTATATAATTTATTGACTATGTCATGATTACTAGAAAGCATTCTATATATTTTCTGAGGTAAAACCAGTATTTAATTCTTATTTATCATGTTTTTTTTTTTTTTTTTTTCCTGAATTTTATATTGTTCCAGCTCTCTGGATTGTGGCATTTACTCACCTCAGACAAGATATGAGGTGACTGATATATGTTTTGTTTGTTATTTTATTAAGATTCAGACAGTCTCTTATGTTATAATAATTAATTTAATATATCCATCATCA